TCAGCTTTCCTGCTCCTCTGATGCCACCTGGCCTGCTGTGTTCATCCAGCTCCTCACTGTGTCATCTCTGAGTCCAGCATCTGCAGTTCTTCCTATCTCTCCTTTGACTTTATTGTTTGATGAGAAAATGTTTTGTCCTGTATGTTGTAAAACACCTCATGGTCCGTGATAATGTAAGTACAGGAGACCAAGTTTAGAAAAATGAATTATCACTCGCTGGGGAGGTATTGGTTGACCAATAAAAGCTGGCAAGCAGTCTGTGAAGGTGTTTTATATCTGACCAACCTCAGCTCCTTGATGTAGCAACAGATGTTTGATGATTTCAGTGCCGTAGATGTCATACACATAGAATTTCACCAGGCCTTTGGGGGCAGCACAGTACACAGCACCAGGGACCCAGGTTCGATTCCACCTTCTGTGTGGAATTTGCACAACCTCCCTGTGTCTGCGTAGGTTTCCTCTGGGTGCTCCAGTTCCCTCCTTCAGTTCAAAGATGTGCAGCTTGGGTGGCCTGGCCATGCTAAATTGCCCTGTAGTGCCCAAGGATGTGCAGGCTAGGTTGGTTTGCCATGGGAAATGTGGGGTTACAGGGATAGGGTGGAATGGTCAGAGGGTCAGTGCAGACTCAATGGGCCAAATAGCCTCTTTCTGTGCTGTAGGAATTCGGTGATCAAACAAACATAATTATTTTTAAGATAGAGATGAAAGTCATTCAAGGAATAATGGTGTAAGCTAGGTCGTGGGGTAAGATAATGGGATAAGAATAATAATGGGTTAGATAGGTCATTGTGGCTGGTATTTAATGGAGGGGACAGGGTTACTCCACCAAATGAAGTGTTGCTCAAGCACCTAAAGGAGCAACAGCGGGCCTTCCCAGCAATCTAGGACCCTGGGGTTGGAAGTCCATCTGCTCAGATTGGTCAGTCCAATCAGAAACCAGGAAAGAGACAGTAGCTACTCCCAATATGCCACTGAACCAAGGTCTAGGATTGTTGCTGGATCCCAAACCACTGGTGAGTGATGGCAGTGGAGTTGTGAGGGAGTGGATTAAAGGATGGAGGAGGTCACGGGGAAAGGTGTTGGCATGGCACAACAGTCCAACCACCTCGTCATCTTTTGATTGAGGGTTCCTCCCCAGGAGCCTGCCATTGGCAGCAAGATGATATCTTTTAATGTGCCTTCGCTGTCCATTGAGGGGCTTTAATTGGTGGCAGGCAGCTAGACCACTCATGGGTATCCTTATCACATACCTAGTGTGGATGGAAGTGGGAAGGCTGAGGTTCCCCACTCACTAACTCTCCTGCCCAGTGATGACTACAGGCCAGTTTTTCCAGTCCATTGTTTCTGGGGTATTGTGTACAGTTAATAATCGTTTTACTTATGGAAGGATATTATTGCATTTAAAGCAATTCAGAAAAGCTTAACTGGACTAAAGCCTGGAATAAGTGGATTGCCTTATGAGGAACGGCTGGACAGGCTAGGTCTGTATTCTCTGGAGTTTAGAAGAATCAGAGGTGACATTATTGAAATGAATAAAATCCTGAGGAGTCTTGACCACATGTATAATGAAAGCATGTTTCATTTTGTGATAGAATCTAGAATTCGGGTCATTGTTTCAAAATAAGGGAGAACCCATTTAAGAGAAAGATTAGTACAATTAATGATAGGGTCTAGGTTAGTGTTGCAGAACAGAGAGACCTAGGGGTTCAGGTACATAATTCTTTGAAGTTTGCCTCACATATAGACAGGATAGTTAAAAAGGCATTTGGCATGCTTGCCTCCATTGCTCAGTCCTTTGAGTATAGTGGTTGGGAAGTCATGTTGAGGTTGTACAGGACATGGTGAGTGCTGTTCTGGAATATTGTGTCCAGTTCTAGTACTCCTGTTATAGGAAGGATATTATTAAGTTGGAGAAGGTTCAGAGGAGACTGACCATGATGTTGCCTGGTTGGAAGGATTTGAGTTATAAAGAAAGTCTGGATAGGCTGGGACTTTTTCATCGAGCACAGGAGGTTGAGAGATGACCTTGTGGAAGTTTATAAAATAGTGAGGGATATAGATAGAGTTCATGGTAGTTGTCTTTTCCTGAGAATGGGGGATTTCAAGACAAGGGGCACATTTTTAAGGTAAGAGGAGAGAGATTTAACAAAGAAATGAGGGGCAAATTCTTTACACAGAGGGTGGTTCACATGTAGAATGAACTTCCTGAGGAAGTAGTGGATGTGGGTACGAGATATGAAATGTTTGGAGGGATATGGGCCTGCAGCAGGCAGGTGGTACTGGGTTAGTTTGGGATTATGTTTGGCATGGACTGGTTGGACCGAAGGGTCTGTTTCAATGCTCTATGACTCTATGACTCCATGAGGAAACACTTTGTTCTCTGAGGTTTGAGTGTCTTTAGAACTCCCTTCCACAAAAGGCAGTGGGTGCAGAATTTGGAAATACTTTTAAGATAGAAGTAGATAGATTCTTCATTACCAAGGGGCTGAAAAATTATTGGGGATGTGCAGGCATACAGATGTGAGATTATACGGAATTAGAGTCTAATGATGACCACAAATCCATCGTCCATTGTCAATTTTATAGGAAAAACCCATCTGGTTCACTAATGTCCTTTAGGTAAAGTAACTGCCTTCCTTATCTGGTCTGGGCCTACATGTGACTCTGGGTCCACAGCAATGTGGTTGCTCTTAACTGCCCCCTGAAATCACTTGGCAAGTCACTTAATTCAAGGGTAATATGGGGTTCACAATAAATACTGGTCCAGCCAACAATGAACACATCCCATGAACGAATAAAAAAAAGAAGTCCTGGAAAGTGTATTAAAAGCTAGTAAATGATTTTCGGAAAGATCAAAGGCTCAGGGAATTATAAAGCAAGTTTTCTTTATTTTTATGGTGTGTTCTTCTCCTTAGGTATGTCACAGATGCAGTGGTTGCAATGACGGTCGTTTTTCTGATGTTCATCTTTCCCTCACAGAAACCCTCGTTAAAGTGGAAAACAAATCCTGAAGGTTTGTTCATCCCCTTATTGATGATATGTGGCGCGTATCAGTTGTACTTTCCTCATGGAGAGATTCTTCTGATTCCTTCTGAATGGATCAGAAAAAGTGGCAGCCGGGCTTCTGTTCCTGATTGTTTAATGAATAATATCATGTTCGCGTATAGGAATTTACCTCGAACTGAAAAGCTCACATGTTGAAAGAAAAGGCAAACTAACAGAAGGAAAAGGATACAACGTTTGTCTCACTTTTCTATCAATTTCTTTTTTTTCAAATATTGGCAAATTCTGAGAGTAAATGATAAAATTATAAACCATCTAGAAGAAGATTAAGTGACCTGTTGAGTAATGTCCGTGCCTCTGAACCAGAAGCTCCACATTCAAGGCCTACTCCAGGACCGCATTCGGAACATGAGTCAAACAAATTGATTATAAACCGGTTAACCCACTGCCAGCAAATGCAAATGGCAGACAGTGAGAGTGAAAGAGAATTTTGATCAGGCATGTGATGGACAGTCACAGTTCAGTCCCAGTGCTGGCCAGGGTGGATTTGGGACCTGCCTCCTTGTCCTATCCAGGCTGGAGATGCTATAGTCACACATTGTCTTTGTGCAGAGAACTCAAAAGCTCACTGTATTCTAAACCAACAGAGAAAAAAAAGGCAAGAATAGAAAAGGGAACAAGGTAGGGTCAGCCCTTGGGTTATATTGTTATCCATGTCAAAGCTACCCATTCTATTATGTACCCCTCCCATTCACCCTCAAATGGGACTTTTAGATGTCTAAACCTGATACTCTAGAATTCCTTCTCGCAGACCTTCAACTTCCCTCGCTGCCATAAAGATCTGACCTAAAGCCCATGTTCCTGTATGTTAATTGTGTTTAATTATATTGGTGGTGGGCATTAACTGAGTATTCATTTGAGCCGACTTTATATAGACACAGACTACAACTGGGTTAAAAACAGAACCTGCTGAAGTCTGGCACTATCTTTGGAGAAAGAAACATAATAAGCAATTTGAGTGCAATGACTCTTCTTCCCAGTTCTGAAGAAGTGTCATATTGAACTCAACACTTTATTCCAGATCTCCAGCATCCATGATATTTTGCTTTTATTAAAGCGATGGTTGCTGTGTTAGGAAGTGTATGTTTGAAATGTGTAACTCATTAAAAAAAAGCATGTGGAATGATCATATCCAGCTTAATCCTTCATCAGCTAGTTTTCTAGAGTAAAACAGATGAAGTGCTTTTGCATGTTAACAATGCTATATCCATGCAAATTGCTGCTTCTATTGTTGATCATTAAACTTTCATCTGTCCCTAATTGTCCTTGAGAATATGATGATGAGTCACCTTCTTGAACAGCTATTGTTCCTGTGTTAAAACTACTTCCCCCATGCTGTTAAACAGGGAATTCTAGGATGCTGAGCCAGCAGCAATTACACATACATACAAATCAAAATGTCATATAACTTGGAGGCAAACATGTATGTTTGTGATGTTCTCATGTACCTGCTTTGCTAACACCTATAGTTGATAAGGATCATGAGTTTAGTTGCCGTCTTCCAGATGAGGTGTTAAACCAAAAGCTTACCTGCTCTCCTGGCTGGATATGTGTAATCCCATGTCCAGTATGTTGAAGAATAGCAGGTGACCTGGCTAATATTTATCCTTCAGTCCATATCACATTGCTGCTTGTAGGAACATGTTGTGTGCAAATAGGCTCCTGTGTTTCCTACATTGCCACAGTGACTTCTCTTCAAACTTACTTCATTGTTTGTAAAGGACGTCGTGTGGTTCTGAAAAGTACTATATATCAGTGATAGTTTTTTTTTCTTTTTAGTGAAAATCGTCATAAATAACTGTAAAAAAACCAGCTCTCTATTTTGGAAATTTTCATCCTCTCCTTCTGATTACCAGAGCCAGTTATTCCACACAAACCACTGTTGACTTGGAAAAATGTCCAGCACAAGGTGGCCTGGAATGTCATAATACTGCTAGGCGGAGGATTCGCCATTGCAAAAGCTTGTGAGGTAATTTCTGTTAGCTCATTTACATTTAACACAAGAAGGTTGCTTCAGCTACTCATTGCTAGCCTTACACTCAAGTCCTTGTAAATAGCTCCATTTTCCCCTCACGCATATTTATCATTTTCTTAACTTGTTCGACCACCTTTTATATATTGTGATTCACTTGACTGTAACGATAAGGATATAGGAACAGGTGTAGGCCATTCAGCCCTTCGAGCTTCCCTGCTATTCGGTATGATTCGTACCTTTTACCGATCCCATTCCCACAATCCTTCCACTCGTAATCAGAAATTTCCTCACCTTGGAATTTCCTCACCTACATGGAATTCCTCTTATTTTTAAATCATGCCCCCTGGTTCTAAATCACCAACTAGGGAAAAGCACCTTACTGGCATCTAAGATAACAAGGTGTAGAGCTGGATGAACACAGCAGGCCAAGCAGCATCAGAGGAGCAGGAAGGCTGACGTTGCGGGCCTAGACCCTGGCATCTACCCTGTTTATCAGTCAAGTATTTTGTAAGTTTCAATTAGATCACCTTTCATTCTTCAAAACTCTAGAGAATATAGGCCTGGTTTGCTCAATCTCTAACCATCGGACAATCCTGCTCCTTGCATGCTGTCTGACCGGCTGTGCTTTTCCAGCTCCACACTTATTGACTTTACCTTCCAGTATCTGCAGTCCTTACTGTCTCCAATCCTGCCATCCCTAGAAAAAGTCTGGTAAACCTTCTTTGCTTTACTTTTATAGCAATAATATTTCCCCTGAAGTATGGAGACCAATACTCCGCACAGTATTCCAGGTGTGGTCCAACCAAGCTCCCATATAATTGAGGCAAGACGTCACTACTCATATACTTAAATGCTCTTGCAATAAAGGCTAACATTTCATTAGCCTTCCTAATAGCGTGTTGCACTTGTATGTTAGCTTTCAATGGTTTTTCATCAAGGACACCTAGTCTATTTGTACATCAACATTTCCCAGTCTTCCACCATTTAAGAAATACCCTGCATAGATGTTTCTTCGACCAAAGCAGGCTGTGTCAATCAATTCTAATAACTTTTTATGTGGGCAATGTGCTCAATACATTATACCCTTGTTACCAATATCACTGACTGACCAGGAAGTAACTGTTCCTGGTACACCGTCAAACCCTTTCTTAAGGATTCTGAATAGTATTATCAGGTTTCTCCCACTCAACCTCTCTGTCATAGAGAACACAGACCCGGTGTATCAAGTCTTCTGTTGTATCTACATCCTCTTCTCCGTTGTACTTTACAATGTATCTTTAATGAGGGGCCAAAAGCAGCTGACCCAGATACTTGTTTTTGTATAATTTACTACTATAAATAGAGCCGAGAATCCTTCTAAAAGTAAGAGTGCAGGTGAAAAGAAATGTATTAGATTTATTATTAAAAACAGCAAGTGCTGGAGAAAGTCAGCAGGTCTGACGGTATTTGTGGAGAGAGAAACAGTGAACATTTTGAGTCCCATGTGACTCTTCTTCAGAACAGGTGCACACCGCAAATAAAAATGAATGACTTTAGAAAGATTTTTCCTGGATCAGGAACAGCTTTAATGCACAAAGAGCTGCTCATCCATTGGTGATCCCTTTGAGCCCAACCTCTTCCCCACATAACTCCTCTTGCCCTGGGATTGCTTCCCCGACCTTAATTCAGCATAGAATCGTACAGAGCTCTTTGTTCTTTCAGTGTCAATTGTGACTCAATGGTTGGATCAAAGCGTCCCTCTGCACAAACTTAAGCGTGTCATGGTGACCCTCTCGTGGTGCAGTGGTAGTGTCCCTAAGAGTCCAGGGTCAAGTCCCACCTACTGCAGAGGTGCGTAATAACATTTCTGAACAGGTTGATTTGAAAAAAAAGTTAAATTTTTAAAAAAATTATATAACCTATATTTCAATTTGATCTCATGCTGCACAGTTATGAAATGCCACCTTTCAGATGAGATGGTAAACCTGCTCCCTCTGGTGGATATAAAAGATCTGATGATGTTAATTTAAGGAAGACCCAGGCGTGGAGCGGAATTCTCCCAGATATTATAGTTTATAGTTATCCTCAGCCACTGCCAAAAAGATCAGATTATTGCATTGCACTTTCTAAGACACTGTTAAATGCACTTTGGTGGCTGTATTTTCTACATTTTAGCAGTAATTAGACTGAGCACTTCACTGGATTTATTGAAACAGTTTTGGATGACATGAGGTTGTGAAAAGTAATTTACAAATGGTGAAGAACAAACTTGTTGGTTTCAGAAAACTAAAGTCATCATATTTTTTGCCATTAAAATATTTGGTCCATCGTGTCTGTACCTCCTTCTCAGTCGGTATTTATTATTCTGCATTTTGGGAGTATTCAGTGCTAAATGAAAATATTAATTTGAATGCTTGTATATAACATGCATTTGAAAGCGATTTTTGGACTTGCTTTTTCCCTTGATACTAGGAGTCAGGGCTTTCGAGGTGGATTGGAAACAAGCTGCGTCCTCTGGAACATATCCCAGCCAGTGCAATTGTTCTGACTGTCAGCCTGGTCATTAGCTCATTCACTGAATTTGCCAGCAACACTGCCACAAGTATAATCTTTCTGCCTATTTTGGCTGAGTTGGTAAGCTACGTACATATTTTTCCCAATTACTAGTCAATTTTCAGAACAGTGACAGTTACAAAATCTGAGCTTGTCTTTATTATTTGGTATCCTCCCTCTGGTTACAAACACCATAGAAAGGTCAGAGATAGTAGGAACTGCAGATGCTGGAGAATCCGAGACAACAAGCTGGATGAACACAGCAGGCCAAGCAGCATCATAGGAGCAGAAAGGCTGACGTTTCGGGCCTAGACCCTTCTTCAGAAATGGGGGAGGGGAAGGGGGTTCTGAAATAAATAGGGGGAGGCGGATAGAAGATGGATAGAGGAGAAGATAGGTGGAGAGGAAACAGACAGGTTGAAGAGGCGGGGATGGAGCCAGTAAAGGTGAGTGTAGGTGGGGAGGTAGGGAGAGGATAGGTCAGTCCAGGGAGGACGGACAGGTCAAGGGGGCGGGATGAGGTTAATAGGTAGGAGATGGGGGTGCGGCTTGAGGTGGTGGGGGGGATAGGTGGGAGGAAGAACAGGTTAGGGAGGTGGGGACGAGCTGGGCTGGTTTTGGGATGCGGTAGGGGGAGGGGAGATTTTGAAGCTTGTGAAGTCCACATTGATACCATTGGGCTGCAGGGTTCCCAAGCGGAATATGAGTTGCTGTTCCTGCAACCTTCGGGTGGCATCGTTGTGGCACTGCAGGAGGCCCAGGATGGACATGTCGTCTGAGGAATGGGAGGGGGAGTTGAACTAGTTCCCGCCTGGGAGGTGCAGTTGTTTATTGCGAACCGAGCGTAGGTGTTCTGCAAAGCGGTCCCCGAGCCTCCGCTTGGTTTCCCCAATGTAGTGGAGGCCACAACAGGTACAGCGGATGCAGTATACCACATTGGCAGATGTGCAGGTGAACATCTGCTTGATGTGGAAAGTCTTCTTGGGGCCTGGGATGGGGATGAGGGAGGAGGTATGGGGGCAGGTGTAGCACTTCCTGTGGTTGCAGGGAGAAGTGCCGGGTGTGGTGGGGTTGGAGGGGAGTGTGGTGCGGACAATGGAGTCACGGAGAGAGTGGTCCCTCCGGAAAGCAGATAAAGGTGGGGAGGGAAAGATGTCTTTGGTGGTGGGGTCGTATGGTGAAGTTGGGATTGGAGCAGAGGGAGCGGAGGGCTGCACGTTCTGCGGGGGAGAGGTTGGAGTGTGTGAGAGGGGTGGAGAGGTTGAGGCGATTGATGTCTCGACGTCACCATAGAAAGGTCATTGTTTTTACTCACTCACAGGATGTGTGGGCATCACTAGCTAGGTTGGTATTTATTGCCTGTCCCTAAATATCCTTGAGAAGGTGGTGCTCAGTTGCCTCCTTGAACCACTGCAGTCCATTTGGTGTAGGTACATGTAAACAATGCCATTTGGAAAGGAGTTCCAGAATTTTGACCCATAGAAACTATTTTAGTTATTCCCATACTGCTGTTTATGTGTTCTCACTTACAACTATGATGGTGAGGGTTTTGTCTGCAGTCAGCTCACCATATTACGGGGAGGGCATAACTGCTCTGGAATGGGTACAGAGGAGACTTTCTTGCAGGGCTTGGAAATTGTAACTGTGAGGATATTTTGGACACTGGTGCTTTGTCTCTTAGAATAGAGGAGACAGAGGGGTGACTTAACTGAGATGTATAAAACTATGAGGGGCTTGATTCGAGAATGACATCTTTCCCCAGCTGAAAGGTCAATTACCGGGGCCTTGATTTAAGGTGATTGGTACAAGAATTAGAGGGGACTTGAGGAAAATCTTTTTCACCCAGAGGGTGGTCGGTGTCTGGACTCTGCTGCCTGTTTTGATGGTGGAAGCAGAAACCTTGAACTCTACACCTACTGCCCTGTAACCTGCTAGGCCAGGTTTTGGAGGATGTGGATAACATGAATGACTAGTTTCTTTGTTGCTCTTTATTGGCTGGCACAGACACTGTGGGCTGAATGGCCTCTTTCTGTGCTGTAACGTCTCTATGATATCACTTCACTACAGGTAATTTCATCCATTCACTCTCCTGTTTCATCACTTTGCTTGTCAGGTGGATGTTTCAGGATCTTGGACTGGTGTTCCCCTTGACAAGGTCCATAATGAATGGAAAATCATGGAAAGCATTTATGTGAATTCCCAACATGTGCTTCTTGAAGACAAAACTCTTCTGTGGACACAAACTTACATCAGAAATTTGGAATTGAGATAGGTCATTTAACCAATCAAGCCTGTCCCACCACCATTCAATAAAATCATAGCTAATCTGTTGCCTAACTTCATCTATCTCCTTTAGCACTTTAACATCGTTAACCAATGAAAAGCTAACAATCTCAGTTTTAAAATTGACAATTAATCTAACATCATTTGCTGTTTGCAAAAGAGAATACAAAACATTCCCCCCTCCTCACCCTTCATATGTAAAAATGTTTCTTAATTTCATTCCTGAAAGCCTGGCCCCTCCTAATTTTTAAACCTGTGTCGTAGACTCCCAACCAGAGGAGATAGTTTTCCTGTGTCCTGTCTGTTAATAGGGATGTAGGAAAAAGGGGAACCTCATTCAGCTCCTTCAGCCTGTTCCACTATTCATCAGATCATGGCTGACCTGGGACCTAACTCCACAAACCTCCCTTTAGTCCAAATGCTTTGCTCAATAAAAATGTATTTATTGTAGATTTAAAATTAACAATTGATCTTGCATCAACTGCCATTTGGGGAAGACACTTCCAAATCTCTACCACCCTTTGTGTGTAGAAGTGCTTCCTGACATCTCTCTTGAACAGTCTGGCCCTAATTCTCAGACTATGCTCCTACTTCTTGAATCCACAACCAGTGGAAATAGTTTATGTTTATCTACCCTTCTTTTCCCGTTGATATCTTGAAGACTTCAATCAGATCATCCCTTAATCTTGAAAATTTGAGAAAAAAACAGGCCTAATTTGCATAACTTTTCTTCATAACTTAACCCCTGAAGCTCAGGTATCATTCTTGTAAACCTGCATTGTACTGTTCCCCTTTATACAAACTTTGACCAAATCACCCCTTAATTTTCTAAATTTTACAGAATACAGTCTTTGATTTTGTAATGGCTATTTGGGCAAAGTTGCACTGTGCTCCTTCCATGACTGTTGTACCCTTCCTAAGTATGATTGCCAGAACTGTCCATCGTATGTCAGATGGGGTCTAGCCAATGCCTTTTAGAACAGGATGACTTATATTCTACATATGAAGGCCGGGGAATGGGTTTTCGTGGGGTGTTTTGAGTTTGGAAACCTCCTGAACTGGCAGACCCGTTACCTGTGCAAGAAAATTCTCTACCTGCCATGTTTGTGATCTGGAGAAATGAAGCCAGACTGGAGTTAGGCCTGTTATCTCCAGACTCAGTCAGCAGGCTCAAATGCCCTCTTCCATTTCCTGGGACAATCATCCAGTTGTAGTGATAAATGTCTGGACCTAAAAACTCCACACCACAAACCCACACGTCCTTCCCCATTCCCCTTACGCACAGCGTTCCTACTCAAACATGCAATTGCCTGTCACGAGCACCATATCAACCAGAATAGGGAAGTGGTGGCCAAGTGGTATGTTCAATGGGTTATCATCCAGACGGCCAATCTAATGTCCTAGTGATACGTGTTCAAATCCTGCCAGGGCAGATGATGAAATTTTGCTACGGCATGGTGGCTCAATGGTTAGCACAGCTGCCTGCCTGCACCAGGAACCTGGGTTCAATTCCACCTTTGGGTGGCTGTGTGGAGTATGCACATTCTCCCTTGACTGCATGGTTTTCCACTGGTTTCCACAGCCCAAAGATGTGCAGGTTAGGTGGGCTTGCCATGGTTTAAAAACCCCATGCGGGGTCACAGAGATGGGGTAGGCGAGGATAGGGTCTGTGTAGAATGCTTTTCGCAGGGTCAGAGCCTACTCAATGGGCCAAATGGCCTCTATTTGCACTGTGGGGATTCTATGATTCTCCATTCCTGCTCCCTCCTTCCATGTTTAATCTCTCACCCTCACCCAGTATGCACGATGAGTAGACCTCAGAAGCCATGTTTTTCAAATATGCAGAGAAAACCTAAACTCATACTCAGTCTAATAGAACTCATACTCAAACTCATTTCTTGCTGAAAGAAAACTTCAGGCACATTCAAAAGATGTTAAATTATAATCAAGCGAACACCCTGGTGTAAAACAAACAAACATTTATTCAGCAAGCACATCAATGACAGATAATCCTTTAATAATGTCTTACAACTATCAATCAGCCAGTCCACACAACTACCATCGAAGATAAGTGATTCTGGTGCCAGCATTCCAAGTGGACTTAGCTGTCAAAATAAACCATTACTGCTTGAATCAATGAAATTTATTGAAACTGCAAAACCAAATGATTTGTTATTCTGAGTTATACCAAGTGTCCCACCAAACAGTGTGATGGCATGATGGCTCATAGTGACAGAGACCCAGGTTGAATTCCACCCTTAGGTAACTGTTTGTGTGAAGCTTGCAGGTTCTGTGGGTTTCCTCTGGGTGCTCTGGTTTCTGCCCACAGTCCAAAGATATGCAGGCTAGGTGGATTAAGCCATGGGAAATGCAAGGTTACAGGGGTTGGGTGGGATGGTCTTCAGAAGGCCAATGTGGACTTGATGGGATGAATGGCTTGCTTCCCTGCTGTAGGAATTCTATAAAAACAATTAGTACCCAGTTCCAACTACAGCCATCATTTTCAAGGCTACTTCTGAGAGTTCTCCCAAATGTACTTGTATTGTTTTGGCCCTAGTCACCTTATTTACAGTCAGACCATCAGAAAGACATCTTGTGTTAAAAAAGAATGAAGGGATTGAACTGAGAAAATATTTTAAAATGATACACGCACTCAACTTTAACACTGTCATTGCCTATCAAAGATTTTGTCGCTGACACTCTTTAAACTGCAATCCTTTCCTGTAGGGTGTTCGAGCCAAAAATCATCCTTTGTACCTGATGATTCCAGGGGCAGTGAGCTGTTCATTTGCCTTCATGCTGCCAGTTGCAACTCCACCAAATGCCATTGCTTTCGCAACAGGGCAGTTAAAAGTCAAGGATATGGTATGTGAAAATTTATATATGAACTATTATTAATAAGATTGGTAATGATGAACACTACTCCAGAGCTAAAAAATTAACATCACTTATATCAGTATTTTGATAATTTTTTTTATATACTCAAGGGATCTGGGCATCCCTGGCTAGGCCAGCATTTATTGCCCATCCCTAATTGCCCAGAGGGCAGTTAAGAGTCAACCACATTGCTGTAGGTCTGGAGTCACATGTAGGCCAGACCAGGTAAGGATGGCAGTTTCCTTCCCTAAAGGACATTAGTGAACTAGATGGGTTTTCCCCAACAATCAATTTGCAGTCATCACTAGACTCTTAATTCCAGATTTTTTCATTGAATTCAAATTCCACCATCTGCCATGACATGATTTGAACCTGGGTCCCTGGAACATTACCTGATCTCTAGATTAACAGTCCAGTCATAATTACCACTAGGCCATCGCCTTCCCTAACACATAGTCTGCAATAACGTGTTATGGAATCCTAAAATCATAAATTAAAATTATTTCAGCCAAATTTTAATCCTTGATTCAGTAATTATAATGAAAACATGATGATAATACAATGTGACATTGAATGTCATACAGTAGAAATTTGTGCTGCCACTTGGCAAAGGGTGGGGAGACTCAGTTATTTTGGTGACTCACTTTCTGAGTTTTCATGCCCCTCTTATGGGGAGAGGGCTGATTTCTTGGCTCCTATTTTTGGTGCTATGTCAGGGGCACACAGAAAGGACATCTCCACAAGCATGACCCAGGAAACACTGATCTAGGAAGTCACATTTTCGTTATGGGATAGGAAACAGCTTGGACTGAGGTCGGGAACTGTGGGTGTGGTCTGGGATTAAGGCCAACCTTAGAGCACTAGCCCTGTGTGAAAACTCAATAGAAGTCCACACCCTTTCTACTCCCTTCCTCCCACAAACAATCCCCATGTCCCTCACCCATATCCACGCTACTCCACGGATATTTATCTCACACCCACCCCCCACCCACTCTCCCAAAACAAAACGATCCGGGGACTCACACCAAAGGGCTTGCATCCACTGTCAGACCAAATTCTCAATTTTCAGACTTGCCCCAATGCACACTCTGCGATCCACACTGCAGAGATGTTAAAATCCTGCTTCTGTTCAAGCAGAGGAAGATTTAAATTTTCTGCTGCCTCAGTGACATGTCCAAACGTGTACCGCAGCCTGACACCAGTTCCACACCCGTGAAAATAGGATTGGGACTTCATCATGGTAAAACCTGGGCTTTCATTAGAGCCTCGACCAGACACTAGGCTGCTG